CTTTTTTTTTTTCCCTTTTTTTTCTTTTTTTTTAATTTATTTTTTTATTTATTTTTTATTTTTTTCCCTCCCCGGGCCGCTGGGTTCACCTCAGGTGGCAGGAAGGAAACGCTTCGCAGAGCCACCGGGGAGCACGGTGCCGTGAGGCACTGCCAGGCTCCCAGCAGGGCACCCCCCAACCCCAAATCCCCTCCATGGGATTTGCCCTGGGGTCTTTTTGGGGTTTTGCCCCTCTCTGGGGCTGGCTCCACCTGTGGGATGCCCGAGAGCCAGGGCAGGCAGCACCGTTTGGGGTGTTTGGGTACCAAGGGGCGTTTTTGGGGTGTTTTGGGGCACCGGGGGAGGCCGGCGGGACCCCAGGCTGGGCAAAACACCCCCGGTTTGGGCTTTTGGGACAGGGACAACCAAAACCCAGCCGAGAGGTGAGTCGGGCACCTCGAAATAAAAGCAGTGGCTCCGATTCCTCTGCACGCTGCCCCTGACAGCTCCCTTCACACCCCGTTCATTACCTGCCCCCCACCTCCAGCGTTTCCCACCCCGTCCCGTCCTCAGTGCCCTCAGCAAGGTGTTTCCAGCTCCACCCCACCACCACGGCCCTGAGCCGCCTTCTGCTCTCCCCAAATCCCAAATCTCCGAGCTGCCTCCCCAGCAGCCGCCGTCGACGTTCCCGAGGCTCCGACGAGGTAGGGAGGGGCGGCAGCGCTCCCCGCAAAGTCGGAGTTGGGAATCGGCGTCCAAGCTCCTCTCCCCCGGGGCCGCCGCCTCGGTGGCTCTCGCTGGAAATCCACCCAGCCCCACAGCTCCCAAAGGCAGCTGCTGAGGAGGCGGTGCAAGACACGGGGTGTTTCATCCTGCCACGCTTTAGAACCGGTGGAAGAGCTCGTGCGCAGCCCGGCCTCGGCTCCCCGGCCGAGATGTGCCCTTTAGCTCTGTTCTCACACCACAGACTCACCCTTTCAGATTTTTTTTCCGAGCGTGTGGGCCGGGGATAGAGGGGAAAAGCGTGATTTCGAGAACACAAAATGGAGAGCTAGGCTGGGAGTTGCCACACCCTTTTTTTTTTTTTTTTATACAGTCATTTGATGCAGCGAGAAAAAAAAAAAAAGACGCTGACAGGCATCAGGTCCCACCCAGCAAGTCAGAGCCCCCTAACTCAGTGCTCCTGCTCCTCCTGTGTTTAATGGCATCAAACCTCATTAAAAATAGACAGTGCCACAGCCACCCCGGTGCCGAACGCCGTCCGAGTGGCCCGCCACGAACACGGCTCCCGTCGCTCATGCACGCACAGCCCCCAGCCACCGCGCTCCAACAATTCCTGCATGCCCACGGCAGCCCCAGCAAGATGGGCAGGGACGCCAGGAACACCTCGCTGCCACCTTCCGTCACCTCGGGAAGCATCAAGAGGCCAACGGCATCCCAGCTGCTTCACCTGCTCAGTGAATTTTGCCTCAATATGGAGAAAAAAATTAAAATCTCGAGGGGAAACTCTGGAGCGACCTTCAGCTGGCACTCCCCAGAGGCTGGGGAAGGGGAAAGGCAGCGAGGGCACGTCTGCTTGCCAAGGCTGCCCCGGGTTTTAGAAGAAAGCAAGCCCACGGTGTCCAAAGCTCTAGGATCTGAAATCCCCGGTAGCAAAAAATTTATTTTCGTGACTGAAGACAAGGAGAAATTTATAAATGTATTCTAGCAACCTACCAATAAAATAGTAAATACTCCATCCCTGTGATTTATACAATCACCTGGGAGCAGAACATCCAGAAAGGCTCTGCCACGTGCCACTATGACAGCCAGGAGCATGAGACCACGTGCACATCACCTGTCCTTACTTCTTCCCAACCCCACACACGCCAGGAAGTCTCTTTTGAAGGTCCGCAGTGTATCCAGACATCATCCGAGTGACTAGTGTCCAACGTTAAAAGGAGAAACAATAAAGAAGATTGCGGTGGTAAGCAGCACACTCATTTCAAAACCCACAAAGACATCCACATTGTTAGATTCTCCTAAAAAAGTAGTTCCGATTCACTTTTTCTCCCCCCAACGACCAGGTGCGTCGGCCGGCGCTCAGCGCATGAGCAGGCTGTGCTTTGGTCCGTCCACTCGCTCCAGCTTCTCGAAGTGTTTTCTGGCGTTGCGGATGTTGATCAGCGTAGCTGCAGAAGCTGAGATGGAGAAGGGAGAAGGAAAAGTTAGAAGGGATGGACAGCACTTATCTGAGCTCCCATCAGCAGAACCAAACCAGAACCCTGGCTGTATTTGGGCTCACGTTGCCACGCCAAACTCAGCACCATGACGAAAAGGAGGAGTGAAGCCCGCTGCTCAGCAGAGGGCACAAGTGTTCTACAGCTTTTACTTGCACCGGGCAGCACCAGATTTCACCTAAATTTGGAGAAGTGACGCAGCGTGAAGCCGGCGCTCTTCCCCACTGCTCAGGGAGCACCAACCTCCCGGCCTCCTGCTCCCTGCGTGGCGCCGGGAGGTGGGGGCTGCTCGCTGGGAGGCACAGGAGAAGAGTCAGGACAAGCTGTGGTCACGCAGAAGTCACTTCAGCTTCTCATCTGCTGCTCGAGCAGAGGAATATCACAGCTCAGTAGCTCACCCAGCACCCCAGGGCTCGCTCAGGTTTTCCCTCACGCAGGAACCCCTTCAAAAAGGGGAGGACAAGATTAACAGCTGTCGGCCACGCAGCTGCCCAGGACAGCGTGCCTTCAGCACCTCACATTTTACCAGAAGCAGCTTCAATCAGGAATATAAACACAGTCACATATTCAGGCCGTGCCTCTGGCGCTGCTGGCCGCAAGTCGTTAAGATAAATAGACGCGACTATAATTAGAGCCCTTGCCCACCGAGACGGTTCAGGCAAGAAGAGCAGGAACTCATGCATAAACCATCCCTGCTTCCCTTCCAAAAAATCACCGTGGCTGCCAAAGCAGCGCAGCCCAAAATAGGCTGTCAGACGCGACCTATCCCATCAGGTCACATCTGCCACCGCGCTTCCCCACCGTGGCTCCGACTGTGAGCCGGCTCCGCTCCTCCTGCGAGGCAAGGGGCTGCTGAACCACCTTCCCTTTCCCCCTCCTTGCTCAGGCAGGGCGAGCCAGCCCCACAGCAGAGCCCTCCGTGCCTTTTAACCCAATCCTTTTTATTGCTTTGCCTGCTCTGTGCCATGTTCCAGCAGGAATGCACCCTAACTAAGCCAGCTGCTTGTCCCCAGGCTCGCCTCTGCTTCAACTTACGTATTGAAGGGTCCGACATAACCACCATCACGTATGTGTTTGAGGTGAAGATGTCAATAAAAGCAGCAAAGTTAGAGTTCCTCACTTCCATGCTCTGGAAAGAAGCGGCCAGCTTACTACAGAGGGGAAAAAAAACATGCAATGTCGCGTTGTAGCGTTACTGTAACAGCGCTCACAAGTTCCCCACCCCATCCCCAGGGTCCCTGTTCAGCACTGGAAACAAAGAAGCGCTGCTTGCAAAGGGGGACGTGAGCACCAGGTGAGGCTGGGCTTTGTTTTTAAGAAGCAAAGCCTCCAGCTTTAGGCTTCATTCATCCAGCAAGGGCAGCACGAAGCCATCGGCCTGCTGAGGGTCTGTAACTCCAGCCACAGCTCCGCCGCCCCGTGGAGGACGCTGTGCCCAGCATCACTCGTCCCACGGATGAAGCTGTCACTCCCAGGACAGTTTTACACCCTCTGGAAGCAAGCACAAAGCTGAAGGATCTCGAGGCAGCTCTGCAAATGCTGCTTCCCCGTCCTGTTCAGGCTCTGAACGCTTCCAGATGTTGCTGACAGACTGGGGAACCTGAGGGCGGTTCACAAGACGAGGTTCACAAGACCAGGAGAAAAAGACCGAGCAGAAAATGGGTGTTTCAAAACAACCCCCTTTCAACAATCACCAGAGGAGGAAGTTATGAAAGATGAGAAGAAACTCGGACGTTTTTGACCACCGTGCTTTCTAGAAAGCAATTTAACCGAGGCACCTCCTCCTGCTAAGGAGGTATAAAGGCAATGTTCACTTGGAAAGCTTCCTCGTCTCGGCGTGACACCAAAACCCCTGCTCGGGGATCCTTCCCACTGGACCAGCTCACCTGCAACTTAGCTTGAATTGTTTAATAATGTTGCTGATTTTCTCAAATCTGTGGATATCCCGCTGTTCTTTGCACTGATAGTGAGAAATGACCTGGAAGGCAGAAAAAACGCAGGGTTAGTCATTGATTTCAGGGGAGCCCTTCACAAGTGCTGAGGTGTGAACACCCCAGAGGCACTCCTGTCCCTTTGGGGCCTGAACACCCCGACTTGGTGCCATTTTAACTCGACGTAAAGCACAAAAAAAAGCACAAGGTGGAAAAGCACAAGGTGGAACAGCGGAACACAGGTGGCTGGCTTCCTAGGGAGCTCTCCCTGCACCAATTAACTGAGTCAGAGCGAGATGGGGCTACGCTGCCTGCGCTCGGATCCGCTCCCCTCCCTCCCCTCCCACGCAGCAATGCAGCAGCGAGGTGCTTGATGTCTCTAGAAAGATCAAAAAAGTTTCCAGGATTCCTCGCGCCGTGACCCACGCCTACCACATCCCAGCCCCTTCCACAGGGCTGGCAGCCCACACACCTTCACGCCCCAGCCAAAAATCCAACAGGCTGAGAAGGGCATTTACTGCTTAAGGGGGATCACACATCCAACAGCTGCATTATCTTTGTTCCCACAGAAAACCAGGAAGAAGCATTATTTGAACAACGCTACGCTACGAGCTTTAAGCTCAGAGGAATCCATAAATCAGCTGCTACAGCCTTGCAGGAATTAAGTTGTGAGTATTTTTCCCCCCTTCCTCAAGCACCTTAAAAAAAAAAATCTTTATTTCCTACTTTTAAGCTTGTCCAACTGTTCCTACAGATACAAGTTTAACCATATTCAAGAATCACATCCATACCAAAGCCTTCACTACATGCAAGCTCTTTTCTCAACTCTCCAGGTTTTCCTGTTACTGCGCTGCGAATACAATTTCAGAATAAGATTTCACTTCGGGAGAAAGGAGGCCCTGGGGAAGTTTAAGTGTAAGAAAACAGTGAGAAGGAGAAAGTCTTTAAAAGTCATCATTACACTGAAAATCAGTACAGAATTTTTGTAGCAAAGGAGTAGCTTTCAGTAAAAATAAAAAATAAAAATGCAGGTTTTGAATGCATGTAAGCACTGCTGCCTAGCATAAAGGTGGAACTATTCATTAGCTACACGAGTTCTAAAAGCAGAACTTGCCAGAAACGGCAGGTGCCTAATCCTGACAGTTGAAGTGAGAAAAGTAACGAGAAAAGTCACTTCAGTCAGGCCTTTGTCAAGGAAAGCACTCAAAACTGAAGTCAGTTTCTTCAGGTCAGTGAGAGCACTGGTACAAAGCCTGAAGAAACCAAGCTAGGCACTAAGAGAACGGCACGACAGGCAGCAGTGGGTTTAACCAACACGTTTTCCCACAGCAATCCAGCTGCCAGCGAGCCTCTATCCACGCTTAAGGTTTGTAGAGCATCAGGCACTCGCAAAAAAGGAATCAAGAACAGTTAAAAAACAGTCGAGAAGGAACTGAAAAGACTTTTGTTCAAGCTAAAGAAGGCTCTCGTCCTGTGCAGAAAGGAATTCTCAAGTCCCACGGCTGATAACAGAATGGGGATCTGAAACCCTCCCGCAGCTTGGAAGAGGGAAATACCACTCAAGCCCTCGGCTCAACTGCTAGCCGTGGAAATTTGGGAAGGTCACATGAGCCACGGAGTCCTGTCAGCTACTTTCAGTATCACAAGGCCTGGATCAAAGCGTTCTGCCATCTGGTGCTGGCACCTCTCTCTGGGCAACTGCCACAACCGCACTTTCCATCCAGGGAACTCCGTCCTAGGCTGGGCAGAGGGGCGCGAAGGGCAGAACGGCTGTATTCACCAGGAAAGTGGCTCTCTCAAACAGAAGCACTTCGTCTGCCTCGATGATCTGAGCAAAGTTCCTCAGGTTCATTTCCAGCTGCTGGACATTGGGGATCAGCTGATAGACTATGCTGGACCAAGCCTGTCGGCAAAGAAAGAGAAGAAGGGCTGAATTAACACATCCCCCAGCCTCACCACGAGCTGCTGACATCTCCACCTACCATCCCCAGAGCTCTCCTGTCTATTCTGTGTGTACCAGAGGGCTGCGTGTGGAGCAGCACACGGCTTTGCCTGTTTTTAGGCAGCTCAACACAGCCTGCTACCCGTTAGCAGGTTAGGGGAGGGCCGGTGTCTAGAGGGAGCTGGGTGCAGGCAGCGTGAGGGGTGCTGCCGGGCACACGGTACGGGATCAGCCTCAGCCAGACCTCGTCCTACACCAAATTTCAACTGCTTTTGGATGGATTTGCCAGGATGGTGAGATCTGCCTGCTGAAGTCAAGATTAAGAGCTCCTCACCTTCCGCCCAGCAACCCAGCGTGCTGCCACCACTGCCTGCTGGCAGCTGACAACGCTCCTTTGCTCCCAGCGTAGCCCAGGCAGCACCTACCACGCTCACACCTTAAAGCCTCTGACACTGCAATGAGGGCTGACCAACAAGAAAAGGAAAACCAAAACCACCACCACCAAAAAGCCACCCTCACGTGCTCCTAGAAGCAAAGTAAATCCCCAGGATGGTAAATGCCTGAAGAGCTTTAACTGTAATGTGGGGAAAAAGCAACCAGGAAAGAGCTCCTTGCTGGCTACACATGACTAAAAGGTGCACGAGGTCTTTCTGAAGTGGCTAGGCAAAGCGTTTAAGCAGCATTACAGTGACACCACAACTCCAAGACATGGAGGAGTTTTACTTTTGTTTTTTTAATTTAAAATGCTGATGCCATTCCGGCCAGCTAACCTCCACCAGGAGGAGTCCGTGCAGATCTGAAGAGGAGCAGTCAGTAGCAGAGCAGTAGGAACTGACCGCTCGCCTTCCTCGTGCTCGTTTTCAAGCGGGGAGGGGGAAAAAGGCCGGCTGCAGAGGGGATGGGGTACAAACCTTGTAGAGTGTCTCATCCCAGATGGAAGTTCTAAAACAAGCACATTCCAAGGGACGGGAAAGGCGCCTCAAGTCTTCCTCACGCTCCTTAAAAATCTGGGAAGTAAAAAAAAAGAAAAAGAAAAAGATGAGCAGTCGAGTGTAAATATTTCTTCCTTTGTGTGGTTACTGACTGGCACCTCCAGCACACGTTTCAAACAAAACAAAACTCAACAAGCACTGGGGAAAGAGGAGCAGCAGCGCGTGCTGGCAGGGACAGGCCGCCAGAAACCCCTCCCGCTGGGGCAGCAGAGACGAGCAACCCCGGCTGTCTTGCAGCAGGAGGCTCAAACCTCGGATAACTGCAGCGTTGTGGAACAGAAACGGAATCTCCCGGGCATGAGTTTTAGAGAGGAGCAGAAATCTGACATCCCCCGGCCACGCGCAAAAAGCTGGGTCACTGGGGACAGGGTAGAAGGAAAGCACTAGAGAATTTCATCAGCAGGAACTGCGTGGACGAGGCAGCTCCGAGGCTCGCACGCAGCCTTCTCCCACCAAATTCTGCCCTCCAAAGTTTGGGCTACAAAAAGAAAGGGGACAAAGAGAAGGCAGCCTCACAGCAGGCTCCTAGAGAAGTGGCAAAAAAAACAAGGCCCAGTTTGCAGGAACAGCCTCAGAACAGACCCTGATGACTGCGCAGGGATACGCACGGGAAATAAAACCAGAGAGAGGCCCCCTCCCAGCTGCCCACCCCACCCCAGGGCCTCAGCAGAACCTGCACAGCTACCCAAAACCTGCAGCTGTACAGCAGCCCCCGAACAGAGCGGGACAGAACAGCTTCAAGGTTTTAGGCTCCCCCTTCAGCTCGCAGGGAAGGAGGAAAAGATCCTCAAACTGACCCTCCGAACAAGCTCTCTGAGCTGTTTCTGCAGACGCTCACCAGGAGCCAGAGGGAAGTTTTGTGGGACTTCTTGCACCAGCCTAAGGGGCCTCCGGGCTCGCTGCAGGCCAGGGAGCGGCCGAGCAGCCAGGGGTGCACTCCTCAGGCAAAGGTGCCTAAGCCTGAAAGAATTTTTCCTCTGGTATCAGGAGCTGGTTGCTTTCAGTCACAGCTGAAAGATCGAGGCTGGTGATATCCAATATCCTCCAGCCTCCCTGCAACCTTCCAAAAGCTCTGAGGAGAGCAGAAAACACCAAACCCAGCTGAGAGGCTGACCCACGGCCTTTGCAGGATGCCTCCTGCAGCACGGGAGCGTTAAACCAGGGTGATCTCTGGGCAAGCAGGCACACCGAACGCCGTGGGACAGGAAGCAGAAGCACTGCCTGGTACAAACCACTTTCTAGTTAACCGGGAAAGTTTCAGCCTTAAAACAAAGCCTTCAGAGCCCAGCTTACGTGGGATCGAAAGCGAGAGCTGAAAAGAAACCAACCACCACTGTCATCACCACAATCCTCAGAGCCACCCAAACGGTTAAAGGCAGCTCCAAGTTTGCTGGGTTTCCTTCGGGTCTCCCTTCCTTCCCTGCCCCCAGCACCAGAACCGGAGCTACGAAAGCAAAGGCTGGGAGCAGCTGTCACTAAAAGCCATCAGGTCTCTCCTCCACTGGATGCATGCAGGGAACAGCACTGACACAATCTGGAAAGGGAGGAAGGGGCTCAGACAATTCTTAGAGACATCTGAGAAACAATTCTTGGAGCAGTGCTGACGGGGCTGGATGTGAAGCACAGAACAGCACCGTTACACAACGCACAGCCAGGAGATGCTCTCTCCAAAAGCATTTCTATGGCAACTACCAGCTGCTCACCAGATCCCGCTGATCCTCCTGCACCAGGTCCATCTTGTGCACCAGGCAGAAGATCTTGGCGTCGGGGGAGTTCTGGAGGATGGCCTCCAAGCACGACTGGTAGTAGTGCATGTCCTTCTCCAGCTCGCGGCTCTCCACGTCGAAGACGTAGATGAGGACTTCCACGTTGCGGAAGATGTTGTCCCGCTGGCTGGTGAAGTAGTTCTCCATGAACGTGTCCTGGCTGAGGAGGAGCAGAGCAACAGAAGCACGAGACCCTCGTCAGAGCAAGCAGGCTCACTTCTGGCCGCCGTTTGCAAGAGAACGTCCAGGTGAAGGGCTTGGGCTCCTTGCCAGCAGAAGAAAGGAGCCAGCAAGGAAAGAGTGGGACTTTCCTCAGCCTTTCCCGTGGAGGCAGCTCAGAGACTGCAGGCAGGAGGCCAGCCTCCTTCCACCCACAGCCCTAAGATGTGGGATCCGCTCTTCCCAGAGCTGCCTCACCAGTTCCACAGCGGCCAGCAGCGAGCCTGCTCCATACACGAGCAGCACGCGGCTGCCTTCGGGGCAGAAGGCCCTCGCTCTGCTCTGCTCTCGTTCCACCCCCACCCCGTTGACAGCACCAGCCCCCAGCAGCGCCAAAAGCAGCAATCCAAGCACCTACCCTCCGCAGTCCCAGAGGTTTAACACCAGGTTTCCGAGGAACCTCACGTGGGAGTGCTCCACATCGACTGCAAAGAGACAAGGAGCAGGTTACCGACTGCCCCGCGCACCCAGACCACAGCCACCTCCTCAGGCAGCTCTTCGCAGTTCAGCTCACTGGTTATTAGAGCTCCCTGGGTGTAAATCCAGCTCCTGAGTAACCCAAGCCCTCCTGCCCGCCAGCCACGTCGCCGCTGTGCTGTGGCAGGTGGCTCCCCCGCCCCGACACCCACTGACCTCTGCGATATTTGAAGCACGGCACTAGCCCCAGCACGTTCTGCGAGGGCTTAAACCAGCCTTAAAAACACACGAACAGTGTAAACGTCAAGAAACCACACCTAGAGCAACACGGGGGCACACACCAGTCAGACATCAAGTCCTCCCGGAGCAATTGGAGGCTGTTGCAGGGGGCTTTCCACTCAGTGCTTTTTTTTTTTACACCAGTGGCTTTGACAAAAAATAGAGGCTCGTTAAGACTGGTGCCTCCCCCTGCCACAACCACGGCACACAGCAACATCACCGTGCCTCCCTCTGGGCTCACGAGCAGCACGCTGAGGACAGGGAGGCCTCAGCACCAGGAAGAACGAGGAGGCGGCTCCGGGCACACCTCTGACAGCAGGTGCAGCAGCACCAGAGGCTGCTCCCTGATCACCCCCCCCAAAAAAAAAGGAAGGCTAAAAGTCCAGGCAGGACTGGACGCAGCGCTCAGGGCTCCTTCCCCTTTTGCTCCAACCTCATCCAAACCACGCAGCGAAGGTTGCCATGAGGAGGAAGCCCCCAGCTGCTGCTGGCACAGGCCGGGAGCGGCAGGGAGCAGCCCCCCCCAGTGACCCACAGCACCTGCACCCCGGGGGCCCCCCGGCTGCCCCAGGAGAAGCCTTACTGGTGGCGCCCAGCCGCCGCGTGTCCCTGGCGATGTAGTTGGCGAAGATGATGGACCTCATGCTGGTCTTCCCCGAGCCGCTCTTACCCATCAGCAGCACCTGGAGGGGGGGGGGGACAAAAACAAAGAGCCGGGGTCAGCTCCCGCACGGCACCGAGCCCCGCACCCCCCCTCCCCCCATCACCCCCTCCCCCCCCCCCCCGCTGTCCCCTCACAGCGCCCCCAGGGCCCGGCCTGACAGGGCCCAGCCCCCCCCCCACCCCCCCCCCACCCCTCACCTTCTTCTTCATGGCGGCGCTCGGCATCCCCCAGCCGCGGGCACAGCACGGCGGCGCTCCGCGGGCCTTCCTCAGCCCTTCCTCCGCCCTTACTCCGGGTTTACTCCCGCTTTACTCCGTCCTTACGCCCCCCCCGCCCCCCCCCCGCCGCGCTCACGGGACCCAGCGCTCGGCGGCCGCCGCCGGTCACGTGAGCGCGCGCCCCGCCCCACCACGTGACGCCGCCAGAGGGGGGCGGGGAGGGAGGGGCGCGGAGTGAAGCGCGCGGCGCCATCTTGGTTGCGGGCAGCCCTCACTGAGGGGGGGAGCGGCCTGCAGGGGGCGCCGCGGGGCCGGGAGCGTTGAGCGGGGCTTGGGGCGGGCGGGGTGAGGTGCACCCAGCGCCTCCCATATGGTCTAGCGGTTAGGATTCCTGGTTTTCACCCAGGCGGCCCGGGTTCGACTCCCGGTATGGGAAGGAGGAGAAATTTTTGTTCGGCCTCCGCTTTTGGGCCCTGAGGGGGCTGAGGGGGGGGCCCGCAGCCGGAGCAGGCACTGGGGGAGGCGGGAAGCGAGCCCCGAGCGGGGCGCTGAGGCAGAAGCTGAGGCAGAGCCCGCCCAGCGCGGCCCATACAGGCCCTGGGGCCCCGCAGCCGCCCCCGCCTCCACCACCCGGCCCCGGCAGCGCCCTGAGGGGCCCGGCCCCACGCAGGCTTTTAGGGGGGGCCTGAGGCGCTGTGCGCATGCGCACTGCTCCCCCCCTACACACACGCACGCAGTGCGCATGCGCCGCCACCGTGCGTCGCCCGCTCTGTGGCATGAGGCAGCACGCATGCGCACAGCCCCCTCCGCCGCGGGGCGCTGAGCACGCGCCGTGCCCTGCTCCGGGCAGGACGCAGGGCGCATGCGCGGCGCAGTGTGGGCGCGTCACCGCCCCGGCGCCTTGCCCGGTGGTGCGCCAAGGAGTGCGCCCGCAGGGTCGGGCAGCGCGCATGCGCAGTGGTAGCGGCAGGAGGCGCGGTGCGCCCCCGTGTGGCGGCCGGGCGCCATGGCGGGCTGCGAGGGCACTGCCAAACCCCAATGAACGCCACAGCCCCTGCCCTGACACTGACCGGCCCCACAATAAACTGTACCCGAGTTCAACATCTAAACGTCTTTTAAAGCCCTCCAGGGATGGTGACTCCACCACTTCCCTGGGCAGCCCATCCCAATGCCTCACAACCTCTCAGTAAAGAAGTTCTTCCTAACATCCAACCTAAAACTCCCCTGGTGCAACTTTAGCCCATTCCCCCTCATCCTGTCACCAGGCACGTGGGAGAACAGGCCAACCCCCACCTCACTATAACCTCCTTTAATTACTTATAAAGAGCGCTGAGGTCACCCCTGAGGCTCCCAGCCCCTGCACTGACCCGGCGGTGGCAGCCAGCCCCATAGCTTGGTTCCCTGATGCTTGTTGGGGTTGAAGCTCCAGCTTCCTTCCTGAGGAACAAAGACAGCCAGACAACCCCAAAATGCTTCACAGGGCCGCACAGCGCCAGTTCTTACTCGTGTAATTGCTGCCGTCCGTTGTGCCACAGTGACCCTGGGCGAGTCGGGCACCAGTACTGAGGAAATGTCTGCCCGGGGTCTCTGCCGCGCTGTGTTAGGGCAGGAGGCACCACCTGAAGCTGCCCTGTGGCCACGCTCACGGCATCGCACTCCCAGCACACGAAGGCAGCTTCGTGCTCGCAAGCTTTCAATCTGAAAAGCCCCTTCAGTTCCTCCCATCAAAGGAAAAAAAAACACAAATAGGATTAGCTGCGTGAATCGGGATTACTCGCAGAAGAGCATTCAGGGCATTTGTGTCTTAACAAGTGTGGAGGAAATCAGAAACTAATGAATTCAGGAGCGTCGCTACCAGCGTGGCCCCATTCCTGTTTCAGCTGCTTGGCCGAAGGAGAGGCACGGTGTGAGGAATGGGCTCTGAGGACAGACACGCTGCTGCAGTGCCGTCCCTGTGCTCAGCAGCTGTCACTCTCTCTACACACACATCGATTCGGAGCCCAACAGGGTGATCAAACTCCTAAAAAGAGAAAGCTTCCCTGGCCTTTACATTTCCTCCCACTGACACTCATAGCCCCTGCAGAAAGCCCTCCGAGCGTTTCTGGGCTCTCAGCATGCACTAAAAAAGAAGAGGGAAAAAAAAAAGGAAAGAAAAAAGTCAGACAATAAATATTTGCCTCGGCCCAGCATCAGCTCTCTGGCCGGAGCGCTGGGATGAATGGCTGCTGGCAGGCTGCACGGCGTAGCTGGAGCAAGTGCTTCAGGAAGACGGAGAGCCCCAGCCGGCTCCGAGACATAACTCACGCCAGATGCTGGTGCTCTGGGTTCTCTTTCCCTCCCCCGGTGGGATAATGATCCTGATTTATTCGTGAAGGTACAGCAGCACCCTCTTCCCAAGCAGCACGCTGTCTTCACAGCCTGCCTGGGCTCTTATTGATGTCCTTTATCCCTCATCACCTCCTGGCGGTGTGGTGCAGCAAAGAAACCCACTTTGGAGACGGCAGCAGCGCGAGGCAGAGGAGAAGCTGTTGCCTGGAGATCAGACCACGATGCTGATGCCCAGGCCGTGCTGTTTGCCAAGCGTTATTAACCAAAGCTGTGCCATTTCTGTGCAGATTGGTTGGTTGTGAACAAGCACAGCACACACAGAGGCTGAGCCCACAACAGAAATAACGCTGCCCCATCTCCCATTCCTTTACACAATCGCTGCCTCCACACAAACACGTGGAGGAGCAGACTCCAAGGAAAGCCCCTGGTCGTTCAGGAATGTGTCTTTCTGTCCGGCCTGACGGGGGACAGCTGCCCTCTGCCAGGGGAGATAAAACCTGAGAGCACCCAAGCTACCAAGCACCTTGATCTCTGCTTCCCAGGCATGAACCGCCAGGGATTCCTCCGTGCCACAGGGTAAGATTTCGGTTTCAGGTGAAATTTCAGCTAATTGCATCCTCTGGCAGTTTGGCTTCTCTCGCTAAGCTCAGGGTGTCAGAGATCTGGAAAGGAATTTGAACTAGAGCTTTTGTAGACAGCTCATTATGAGAAAACAAGCACAAATGCAATGAGCCACCTGAAAGTTGGGAAGAGCAGGCACATCTTTACTAAAAAACTTGATGGTAATTACGGAATATACACACCACTCTGCACGCAGGGCACCAGCCCAGACTTCTGTTCAAGAAAGGCCGCTGGGGTGGGACAGCAGGATGGAGGCCACGTAGCAAAAACTCTCCTGCAATGCAATATAATGCTGACACCTGAAAACCCCCTCTTGAAACTCACGGGGAGCAAAAGGCAGCATGAGATCCCGTACAAAAAGAGCACAAGATCCCACTTACTAAGTCAAGTGTCTCTCTGAGAAAACATCACGTTTCCGCTCTGGGCCCTGCATTCGCTGCCAGCCAGGCTCCAGGTGGGATTCAACATGCTTGGGTTTCATCTGCGAAGCACCAAGTTCTTCAGCAGCAGCAGGTGCCCTTTCCCCGTGCCAAAATCCTGCAGCTGAGAGCAGAGAGAGAAACGAGTTTAAGGTATTTGCATGTGAGGAGGAGAGAGCCGATGGCAAAGGACTCCTGATGGAGCTGCCACAGCCCTCAAATCCTTTGCTAAGTTGGCTAAAGCCAGAAGTTCATCGTCTTTGTGTGCTGGAATTCCCACCGATCTTTCAGCACTTGTAGGAAAGTCTGGTCTTAGGAAAAATAAGGATTTTCACTAGTCAGCAGCCCTGTTTGGTACGGGTTTTAGCATATGGCATCGGCACTCTCACAACTCACTCTGCCAGCTACATGTGCCTTGTTATTAAAGCTGGGTCAGAACCCCGCCTCTAAGTTAAATCCTCCCAAACCCAAACTGTTCAGGCTCTGAGCATGGTCTGGACTGCTTTCCAGCCCGGCTGCAGATCTTCTTGCACCAGCCAGACCCCGTAGCAGCCAATGCACTGTGAGTCTGTCCTGGATGCAAAGCAAACAGGTACGTCTGTTCAAGGAGAAGGAAGGCTGGCCAGGTAAAACAAATCCCCCGCATCTCCTTTCCAAAGCTGTCAGCCCAGCGATGCGACGGCTCCTTATCTGCCTGTGCTTGACTTGTTATTTAATTAAGACAGAGACAGAAACCTATTTACACTGCAGCGTGACCCTGGGCTTAGAACAACACACCCTACCTATGACCCAGGCGATGCTGCAGGAAATAAGAGCTTCCAAGATGGGAAGTGGCAGCTACTTTCACCTGCTGTCAGCTTTCCAAACAGGGGCCCTGCTGGAACCTGCTGAAGAGATCTCTGCCCTAGCAGAGGTACACCTCGCCTGCAGGCCATCACGGGCCGTGTAGCAGTGTCACATCTCCACTGGGAGCAAAGGACATACTCAAAGGCTTGGCATTGCCAAGCCCAGCTGCCTGCCGAACTCGTGCTCTCATTCCTGAGCAGAGAGGAAGACTCAACATCTCCAGAGTGCCCTGTGACTAAGAAAGGAGCCGTTTTCCCCCCACCACCATCATCTGCCAGTGCCTCAAAACCAGTAAAGCCTGGAAGAAAAGGTGTAGCTGAAGCTACCCCTCTCCTCACTGTGAGCACTGCACGAATCTTGCTCCGTGCTTGACTCGAGGTTCGTTAGGGGGAGCGCTGCATTATATCTGCACTGTGCTGCCAAAAGGAGGGAAGAATAAACATGATCTCTGCGCTCCAGAAGTGAGAGGAAGGCTGATCTGTATTGTAACGGAAAGGCAGCTAGGGCTGAGGGGACTGCAAGTTATGTTTAAAAATAAAAACCAAAATCAAAGCCTTGCCTGTCAGCTCTCACAGCGCTTCAGGAGAACCAAATGTTTCCTTGGGCAATAGGAAACGAGCAGGTATTTCTTGCAGCAGTGCTCACATGTCAGCGTGAGACAAGCCTGCAGCTGGCTCCTGGTATTAGCTTTGGGGATGTCAAGGACTGAGCCAGTCGAACAGCTTAAAAGTCACTTCCTGACTCCTCAACACCATTAGATTTCTCTGAGAAGAGATCATGGGAGAAGGTTTGATTTCCTGAAGCTGTCGGTGAATCTGCCCTGTTCATTAGCAGAGTTGCAGTGTCCCAAACTGCAAAGTTGGTTCAGTCTTTACATTTTATTTTAAATTTTTTAAAGGAAAAACTAAGCTGAACACCACTCCAGCACCATT